GATATTTTTTGGATCAAATATTTTCCAGTGGCACATTTTTGGATTCCAGTATATGTAGCCTGTTCATTTTCATTTGTCCACATGACAGGCAAAATAGAAGAAAAGGAAATATTTGCAAAAATATGGCACTGGTTAAATACAATAAAAGTGACTCATAGCCTAATACCATACTGTCTTGAAATTCTAGTCATGGAGACTGGTAGTGGAGAACTTTGGTGTTGTCATGTCCACAGCCAAAATGATCTGCAGAATATCATGCAGTTCTTGCCCAAAAATATTGTTCAGACGAAGGTCACAAAAAAAAAACGCTTCTGGTGTCCCTTCTTTCTTTGGTTGTGAAATCACTCCTCTCCTTGGCATAGACATTCTCGGCCTCTTCTGAGACAATTCAGAGAGTTATCAGGGTCATGATGAATGCTTCCTCGTGTCCTCTTAACTATCCCCACCTTGTATTCTGTGGAGTAGGGAGTGATCCGCAAGATCTAGAAGGTGGAAGGAGTTGGAGAGCTGAACTAGAGGGTGGACTTGGACACTCTAGGGCGTGGAGAAGACTTGCCCCAGGCCCCATGACCAGCAGTCGCCAGGATACAGATGGAGGAGTGACACGCCCATCTGGGAGTGTACATTCCAGTGGTTGCTGATGTCACCTACATAGATGAAACTAACATTTTCAGATAATGACAGAACATTCTGGAGAACTTTTTTGGCCCATCTGGTGCTCCTGTTAAAAATCCAAATGTAATTATATTCTTTGTTTTTCTTTTATCATCGCCCCAGAGAAAAGGGTAGATTAGATTTTTTAAAAAAGATTTTTAAAAGAAGCCTCATCGTTTCTTTTTTAGGGTTGCTGAGAGTGTAATGTTAATTCAATAACCATTGCATCAAGTCTCATACAAGTTTCCATTCTAAGCTACTAAAAGTAACTGTTTTCATAAGTTTATTTTATTTGCAAAACAGGGAAAATGTTCGACCACTTTAGGTCATGTGGGTTTGATAAAAAGCAACGTGAAAGGAGAGGTAACAAAATGTTCAAGGCCTTGGCCAAGAACTAGGTGGGTTCATTGCCATTCTCCACCTGCTGCCTCAAGAGACTCTGACTTCCAATACCATTCATTATATAATCAATTTCATGTGGAAACACCCTTTGCACTGATTCTTTAATTCAAGCATACTCTGAACAGTTGCATATACTTTGAGATATTATGCAAAAAAACCCAATTTTTAATAAACCTTTGTCAGAGTTCTTAGAAGAGACGAACTTCATCAGGGTGAAATTTTAAAATATTTTATCAAATTATTTTTCACCTGATGATCATCAAACATTAATTATGCCCAGTTCTGAAGGATGTATTGGGAAGGCAGGCGTGACAGAGAACAAGACTTTTTCCCTATGTACTCTGCACAGTGTTTGAGGTGAGAACACTGAGTTCATTGCACCATACGGGGTGGCAGAGAATAAAATATAAAAACTGGTTCTGATTCATGTGAATCAGAGCCAAAATGGTAAGTAGAATACACAGCTTTTCGAGAAAATTCAACAATTCAAGGTGTTGCCCACAGAGAAGCCTCCCTGTTCCCACACTAGGGGTGATATTATTTCACTCAACTAGTCACCTGTTTGTTTTCAAGATCAGCCTCAAAAAAGGAAAAACTTTCCCACCCAGATAAAAACTAAAGTTCCCCAAGCTGACCTCCTGACTGTGTGGTTACAGAGGAATCCCCAGGGCAAGCCTGATTACCTGTACTTGCAGCTGTAGACATTCATCTGGCCGGCCAGGACAGACCCAGAACTCTCCACGTGCACAACCACCACGGACAACTGTTCTGCTTCCGTGGTGTACTCGGCCACAATCACATAGTGGCCTACCTGCGGGACCCGCAGCCGCAGGTGCAGTTCCACCTGTCAGAGAGCCGAGAAATGTCCCCGATGCGTTTACGCAGGCAATGGTGAAAACGGGGCTGAAATAGTTTTCTATGTCATCACAGTAAGACATGTAGTCCTATAGGCAGGGATGCCAGATAAAATACAGGATGTTTCATGAAATTTAGGTAAACTACACATAATTATTAATTATTGTTTATCTTCGATTCTAATTTAATGGGACATCTGGTATTTTTATTTTCAAAATCTGGCAACCCTATATTAAGGAGCTTCTACTCTTTCTACCCATATATTTGCCTCCCTATTGCCTTGTTTCTCAAGGTAAAAGACACTCCACAACTTGAAGTAAAAAAGGAATTTCCAATGGGAGATAAGAAGAATGAAAGTATACCTTGAGACTCTTAACTATTCTTTAATTTAAAAAGGAACGGCATTAATGGAATGGCTAGGCATAGAGCCAGAGGAGAGAAAGAGCAAGCAGGGGATCATTTCATAAACTATATAAAAGTCTGACCAATGTACTGTATACTTGAAACTAATGATAAAATAAAATAAAAACTATAAAAAGAATGAAAGAAATTTTAAAAAATTAAAACAAACTTTAAATTATATGGATGCAAATAATGTAACATGATACACACACCCTACTCTTGGGATAATGACAAATAAAAGTTTGGCATTCATACTTCCAAACCATTTTCTATGTCTGAAAATGCACATATGTGTACTTAAAAAAAAACTATGATCATGATAGGCAACCATGGATGCTTTTGTACCATCATGGCAGAGCTGAGTAGTTGTGACAGAGACTGCATAGACCACAAAGCCAAAACATTTTTACTGTCTATCCCTTTACAGAAAAAGTATGTCTGTCTCTGATATCGCCTACTGATTAAGAGCTTGGAATCTGGAATCATACTGCCTTCAGCTGTGTGACCTAGAGCGGTAGGCCTTAGTATCATCTCGTGTAAAAATGAGGATAACAAAGTACACACCTCTTAAAATCATTATGAAGATTAAATGATTTAGTGAAGTGCTCTTAGAACTGTATTTGGCTTGTAAACACTATATAAACAATGATAATTATAACTATGATTACTGCTTTTTGTCATGACTTGCTTTTTTACTCAACAGTAGTTCATGTGTTTACAGCAATACATACAGCTATACTTCATGCTTCTAATGGCTGCCTATCATTATATAATATGAATGTAAAATAATTTCACTAATCCCTATTCTTGGAAACTTAGGTTGTCTCTAACTTTCCCCGTAACACATGTTATATAATTATATATATGTATATATGTATATATATAATTATGTATACGTACATATGTATATATATGTATACATATCGTTATGCTAGTATTTCTGTAAGGTTTCTAGAAATAGAATTTCTGAGTCAAAGTGTATGTGCATGTTTAATGCCTGATCCAATATTAGGGCTATATTTCATAGCAGTTTAACCTACTTCAGTCCATAAGCTCAGGCCCAGCCAATCTTTACCACATTTAATTAAAATCCTCCTGCCCCTTGCTTTCAGGAAATTCACATTTACTGTTCCTCCTGCACAGCTCTGAACCACACAACTGCTATTTTCCACAATTTTTTTCCTATCACATAAATAATAGAAAGACTCCCCTTAGGGAAAAGATGTGGATTATCAACACCACTTTTCTACTCTGTGTTACAGAGTGAAATATGGTGCTGCTGTTGGTCCACATGGAGTGGCTACATTTCTCCCCTGGGCATCTCCAAACAAGGGCCTGTCTGTCTTTATCCCACACACAGGCCAATGATGTATTGCGTTTTCTCCCAGAAGTTATTATTGGCTGCCAGTTCGATCAGAGCACTATTATAAATTTCAATTACTCTTTCTACTCTGAGTCCTATGGGTTGATTTTTGGAAGACTTGTGGAAAGGGTTTTGAATATATTTGATGGTCAAAGTGGGTTTTAAGAAGCTCATATCAGAGACATAAAAGATGGGAAACAAAAACTTTACTGCCTGCTGTTTGTTATCAGATATTTACCTTTAAAAAAGGCAATTTTAACAAAACTGATACTTCATGTGTCTACAGCAGTACATACAGATATACTTCATGCTTCTAATGGCTGCCTATCATTATATGATATGAATGTAAAATAATTTAACGAATCCCCTTTTCATGGAAACTTAGGTTGTCTCCAATTTTCCCTGTAACATGTTATATAATTACATATGTATATATGTGTATACATACAATTATGCATATGTATACACATATATATATATATACATTATGCTAGTATTTCTGTAAGATTTCTAGAAGTAGAATTTCTGAGTTAAAGTGTATGTGAGTGAGCTAATTAGGAGACTACTACAGAGATCCTTATATTATGAAAGATGATGGTGTAATGGACAAGAAAGATAAATCGAGAGAACTGGAGATATTCAAGAAAAGTCAGTCATAATGGACTAAACACACATATTTATTGATCTTCCCTCTTAGAATTCCATATAAATAAGAATTGATTTTTTAAAAAACTATAAACCTACAAGAAGAAAAGAATAGGAAGGAGGAAAAGAACAGACCAGGGAAATCAACAAAATTTTGGAAGCTAGGAATCAAACTGATGTTAATGAATTAGACTAGGGAAAGATGAAACCTAAGTGTCTGTGTGTATGTGAAAGTTTGGGGTGGGGATTAGAAAAATAATTGAAGATATCTCCAAAAGCATAAAACAAGATAAAGAGATTAGAGAAGGGGGTTAAAGATAAAGAAATAAATTATCCAAGAAATAACTCAAGAAAGTTTCCCAGAATGATGGATAGAAGTTTCCAGGCTAAAAGGGTCTACTGAGAGCCCAGCACCCTGGCTGAAACACTATCTACATCAAGTCACATCCTTGTGAAATTTCAGAAAATAAGAAATAAAGAGATGATCCCAAAAGCTTTAAGAAAGGAAAAGCAGGTGGCATCCAAAGAATCTGGAAACAGAATGTAATGTCTCAACAGCAACGTTTGAAGTTAGAAGTCAATGGGGGAAATGTCATCAAATTCTAGAGAGAAATAATTTCTAATCAAGAATTTTATATTGAACCAAAGTAAAAAAATCAAGATTGAGAGTAGAACAAAGATATATTCAGATAATGTGAGGTCTCGAAGAGAAAAAAAAGTACCTCCTACGTGGCTTTTCATTGGAGACTACCTACCAAAATGAGAAAGCAAATTTTAAAAAAGATAAAGAATGGAAGTTTCAATAGTCAGGAAAAGGAAGATCTAATACAGTGGGGATGAAAAGAGAGTATTCAGGATGGTGGTGTGGTGGTGAAAATTTTCAAGAAATGGCTGTGCCTTGGGGCCAGAGACTACATTCCAGAGTAAAGAAGAGAGATGAAGAATTCCAGGAGAGAGATCTCCAACAAGAGCTGGAGGAGAGAAAAAATGACGAAAGGCAAGGAAGGAAGGACAAATGGGATGCATTTGAATTGAGATGAAATTTACAATTGATCTGAAAGTCTGGGGTAAAGACTAAAAATAAAATTTCTAGACGATGACAGTAAGTTGGAAGTTGGTTTAAAATGGGTAAATAAGTGTTCTAAAGTCTGTGTCAAGCATAAGAAGAGAACAGAATTACTGAATAACGTTAGACTTTGTTGGAAAAATTTATCCCTAAGAATATACATTAAAATGTTAAGGGTAATCACTAAAAGGCCAGAAAACAATCTAGAACTACCAAATAAGCAGGGAGATAGAGAAAAGTGTCTCAATCAAGCAGATATCGGGAAAAGATTTTTTTAAGGTCAGTGAAAAGCCAGTAAACAAAATAAATAAGATGGTAAAAAATAAGTTCAAATATGTCAGCAATCACCATAAATATAAATGGATTAAAGTCACATTGTAAAACAGATGATCAGATTAAAATATTTAAAAATCTAGCTATGTATTTGTTTACAAGAGACAGAGGCTTGCCTGGTGTAAAACAGGTGTGGCCTGACCTAAAAAGATGAGCTGTTCAGAATAAAGAAGGGAGACTCAGATGGCAGTGAGTGTTAAAGTTAGGAGGTATCAAAGAAATGGGACCAGAGCAGCCTTTGTGGCATGTGTGTGAGATAAAGAGCTATCAGGAGGCAAAGGAGGCCACTCAGTAGAAGGAGAGGAGAACAGGCAAACGTACAGAGAGAAGGGGAGGCCTCTGTCAGAAACAATCAGCTCTGTCCTTCACAGATGCCTGGCAGACCTGAATGCACTCGGTTCTTGCCCTTGGAGTTCTGCCAGACCTCTCTGTCTCCTAGAGGGGAAAAAATCCCTTTATATGAGCTAGATTTAGTGGGTTGCTCTCCATTTCCGTCCAGAGTCCTGACTGGAACACGTAATGGCAATACTGCTAATAGTTCCTGAATGATCACTGTGTGCCGGGCACCCCAAACAAGAGCCCCTCATAGATTACCTTATTTAATAGTACCCATGAGGTAGCTACTATTCTTATCCTACTATTATGTGTACTAGTAAATTCAGGCTCAGAGAGATTTCACAGCTAGTTATTGGTGACTCAAGACATGAACCCAGACAGAGTCACTCCAGAACCATCCCCTTAACCGCCACACTACACAAGGTTTCCAGGACGAAGGAAGGATTACTCTGCAGTGCTTTAGGTGGGGCCAAAAATTAGACATTACAGTAATATATATATTATATATAATATATATAATATATAAATTATATATAATATGTATATTATTTATATATTTTGGCTTAATCTATAAAAGTACTTACTAATAATTATGATTTATTTAAAAATGAAATAGGCTACCGCTAGAAGAGGTGAGTCTTCCATCAATTTAAGTATTTAACAGAGGCTAAATGAATATCTAATGAGAATAATGTAAAAAGGATTCTTTCACAGGCAGAGAAATCAAATAATCGTAAGAACCCTTCTAACACCATTAGTCTCTGAATTATAGCACAATGATCTATTATAGCATGTTTAAAAGAATTTTCTGTGATGGTGAAAATATTCTATAATCTGTGCCTTAAAAAGGTGGCCATTAGACATGCGTGATTATTGAACACTTGAAATGTGGCTAGCTTGACTTAGTTTAATTAATTCAAATTTTTATAGCCACACGGGGCTAGTGACTACTGTATTAAACATTTCAATCAAACAGAAAAAAAGAACTTAAATAAAACTGGACAGCCCAGGGCTTAGTTTTATGCATCATGCAAATGTAATAATAGCTCTCAGTACTGTGTCTCTGGCTAAGTCAGAGGCAAGGACACCTAATAAATCATCAGCATCACTTCCTGGGGGTTAGCCTTTCTCAACTGCTTGGTGTGTGTGTGTGTATATGTGTGTGTGTGTGTGTGTGTGTGTGTGTGTGTGTGTGTGTGTGTATCTCATGGGTAGGAAAGGATATAGTGGACTATAAGCATTAGAATAGAGTGGAAGTATGATCATTTCATTTTTCTTTATGCATATCTATATTGATTTACTTGTTACAAGAATTTACTTATTTTGTAAAATAAAAACTCTAAATAAAAAATAAAATGAAGATTAAACGAGAAATATCCTTAAAATTCTACAACTACTACCTTGAAAATGCTGGAATGCAGTTTAAAAAAAGGTATACATCTAAATGTTCAGTGAGAATTAATACCTTATATTTCTTCATTCCACAAATTTAATCCTGGAATGAACACTTTCCTTAAAGGTATGAAACAGAACGTTGTAGAAAGTAAGGAATGGAAATGTAGAAGAGGAAGATTTTTTTCAGGGTCTTCATTCTAAAGTATTGCATTATGTGTTCTTATTGTTATTGTTGATAATACCATTTCTAACTCAAATCTGAAATTAATATAGTCTTAAGTTGCTTTGAGACTCAAAGAACTCTTGAAAGAAAAGTAATACTAAGACCTGTAGTAACCTGCCCTTCAAGCCATGAGGGAGGATCTGTGGGGTGTAGCAGTTCTAGATTCTGAGCTCAAGGAATTCAGCTGTTGCAAAATCTCCAGCCTAAGGGATTGAGCAGTCAGTGAGCTTCCTTTCGGGGTAAGCTGTGTATTTCTTGAGGTGTTTTATATCTAGCCCTGAATCAGGTAGAACAGGATGCCCCTGTATAAGTCCAGGGAATCAAAAGGAATGGCTTCTGTGGTCACCCACGGTCCTGCCATGTCTAGAAAGTGCTGGAAAACTAAAATTACCATGGTTCAGTGTGGTGTACCACCCAGCCCCAACCTGAATCAGAGAACTCAATAGTCCTTTAATTAACATCTCTGAGGAATCCTTCCAGAGACACAATTACAGCCAAAGGTTTTTGAGCAGACACAGATGGGGAGGTAGTAATAGCTTTAACAGTAAGTAAAAAGCTGCCCCACCTCTCTCCCGCTGAGGTCCGCCATGACTGGGTGTGCGGGGGTGGGCTGCCTCACTGCCAAGGGTCTTGGCTCCCCATCAAGCAGGAAGTGTCTGGCCTCACAAGCCAGGGCACAGGGAAATCGGGTCACTGGCAAATGCTGGTAAAGCAAGCAACTTCGACAACAAAATACAACAGTTACAACTGAGAACAAAACATAGAGCAACAAAGTACATCCCAAAGGCTCTTATCCATTCCATTCATTCATCATGCCTTCGACAAACTCATATTAAGTGCCTACTACAGGTGGTAAATTTCATTGGCATGAGGAATGGAAGAAGCAAAGGTCCACAGGCTGAGTTCTGTTTTAAGCTTCTTCCCTCATAGAGTGCATAACCGTGAGGGTATTACTTGGACATGCATCAGCATTTTCACATGCTAGAGGGTGGGAGTCACTCTTACGTACCAGTTACAGTGTGCATAGTGCTTTGTGATTCTTACGTGAAAGATAGTCGACTGCCACAGGGAAAAAAATCACAATTAAGTAATTATCCAGAGCATCCTGCTATAATTGTGACCCTGAGGTCTATCTTGGGTCCTTGCACCAAAGGCTCCTGATTAGAAGACCCCCATGATGCATCCGCTGCCCATACTAACTTCTCTTGGGGAGGTCCCGCGTGGGCACATGGCTCTGTGACAGGCTGCTGCAGCAAAGAGGCCTCATAGTAGTCCCTGGGGAGCAGCACCAGGTAGTCCTAGGAAATAAAGACCAAAAAGATGATTACTCATTTTGATGGTGGCCCTAATTTAAAAATAAAATAGCTAAACATACTGAGTTAATAATAACCAGGTGAAGCTTGTTAGTTAAATCCTCTACATCAGCTGCTTTGTTCTGCCCCCTGACTCATCAGAATATGCAAATCAACTCACAAGTGCTTTCTGCAATGGAGATAAGCACCTCAGGGTGAACCTTGTTATCATCAAATCTCAAAGAAAATTCTACTGTCTCTTCTGGGTTGCTTATAAATTCAAAAATAAACAAAGATAATAAACTGTTGATTGATAAAACGTTCCTTTGAAATACTGGTGCCTTCATCACTACAGAACACTGAGTTGCAGATCATGGATTATGGTTTTTTATTCCCACACCAGAGCAGTGCTCGCCTGGCTTGGTGTAAAAAAAGTGATGTTTTGTGATTCCAGTGAATCATAGACTGAAACTGGCCTACTGCCTGTCCTAGGATGTGAGAGGAAGAACGTGTCCCACCAAGTGTGCCAAACGAAGCCCACAATGTAAATTCAGTCACACAGCTCTTCAGGAAAGAGCAAAGCTCCGGGCTTCTGAGTGGAGGGTGATTTGACAGCTTTGCAGTGATCCTGGCATCACTGCCTGTCTGTAGAGGGACGGAGGGAGGGAATGTCACCACAACTGTGACGTGACTCATACATGGACCATAAGGCTTTTTCTCTCTTCAGAATCCTTAATTTGTCTAAAATAGGGAAGAAGAGAGATGTATGGGAAGGGGAAAATAGCAGATGGTGGCCCAGGGGGCTCAGTGATTCACCATGGTGGTCTTTCTACCCGAATGGGTTTTAATTTAATAACAGTACTATTCTATTAGTAAGTTTCTTTAGATTGAGACCATATCTCCTCATTACCTTATGGTCCCATAGATCCTAGAACAGTGAAGATTGATAATAGGAGCTCAATAAAATACTTTTAGAGAAAATAGGATCATAATAGAGAAAAATATGTATGAACTATTACACAATTGCCCATGTATGAACTACTACACAAATGCCCATGCAGTAATTTTTATAACGAATTTCATCTTTCCAGTAGTCTAACTTTATGTACCCACTACTGGACTCAATGGAATTTTCCTCTTCCTCATTTCTAGCATCTGTGAAACATTCTTAAACTTTTTTTAAAGTGACAAAGCTTTCTACGAAGAAGATACAAGAAAAAACAGGAACTGAATGAACAACATTAACCTTCACATTATTTTTGTAAGATCCCAGATTTGGAAAGCAGCTATAAAGATAAGTGTTGTCCCCACTGTATGGAAGAAGCAGCTGAGGCAGGCCTGGAGTTAAGGGACTTGCCTAAGATTTGTTAATGGTTGCCAATGAAAGGGGCTGCACATAAGGAAAAGCTTTATGTTTTTTCCTATTAGTGCATGAAACCAAGCACTGCCAAAGATTTTATTTTGAAAAGACCTTGCTATAAGCGAAAGCAGACATCAAAGAGGGGTGTCTCATTAGTTTCCATTCCTTCAACTCCTCAAGGCTCTCTGTCCATTCTATTAATGTTCAAGGACACAGCCTTTCCCCTGATGAGTTCTTTGTTCACGGCAATCTTTTGGGTGAGATTATTGCCTACGTTTAAGGTAAAAGGCGGGAAAACTGTCACAGAGCAGCACTGGTTCCTCCAGTCTCTTCCTTCGCTAATTTTAGGAACTTCTCTTCCTCTAGCTTCTTCTGATTTGTTCTGCACAATTCCCAGAGAGGCCGATGTTCACAGATGTCCTTCTGATTCACAATGAAAACTCCCAAAGAAATTTTTGAAAGGCTGGGACACATGCTCATTAAGGTTTTACATTTATTTTGATAACTTCAATAATTACAAATTATAATTTGATATTTTTTTGGTCTGTGAAAAGCTGGCTGGAAGACTATGCAAGGTATTTTAAGTTGGTTCCTATGTCATTATGTCTTATGAGGGCAAATGTCACCATAGGTTCCTGTGTCTAAAGGGAACCAGTTGTGATTTGATATCTTAAAGTCACGGTGGGTCACTGTGGATGGGACAATCTCCAAGGGGGAAAGAATCTCTACTCAGAACTATCACTTACCAGAAGGACTCCCTCTGCCTTAATACAAGCAACCCAAGTCCCTGGTGCAATTGAAAATGGGTCTGCAAAACCATTTCCAGGGATGGTGACAAAGGCTGGCTCCTTACTCGGCAGGAAGATGATCTCTTTGCTTTGAGGAACACCTATCAGAAATGAAAAGAATTGCTTAGGGCATTTTTCTAGCAGTCAGTGTTATGACTTCAGATAATCAATTTTGAACATTCAGTTTACATCTGAAAAAGTGTAAGATAGTTTACTTATCATATGTACTGACCTTTTTTAAAATAATTATATGAATGCATATGCACATGTAGAAAGATATCGATAAGATGTTAGTAGTGACTATCTATGCTGCGATTGTGAGTCACTTTTTAATTTGTTAAACGCTTAAGTAGTAATATAGGTAAACTGCTTAGAAAAGTTCTTGACACATTTTTTTAGTTGTCAAAAGAAATGTAATGATAATTCACAAGGAAGAATAATTAATGCACAATAAACACTCAATAACATTAGCACTCATGTAAATGAAAACTAAAATAAGAACACCATATAATTTTCACCGGTGAAACTGGCAGAGTTCTTTTGTGGTGATGGGGCATGTTGAACATGAGACCAGCGATGTGGTAACAGGTAGAAGGGGAACTGGTATCACTTATCAGGAAACCATTTTGACAAATTCTAAGCTCTTAAAAACTTTCTTACCAATCGACCCAGTGATCCACTTCTAAAATCTATACTGTAGAAATGTTCTAAAATGTAGATAGAAACTAATGGGTAAAGATTTTCACCGCTGCATGACAGTAAATAAGAAAAAAAGTGGAAATACCCTTGATATCTAAGAGTGGAGGAAAGAGTAAGTAACTTATGGTGTTATTGTATGGTGAGATAATGCAGGGCCATTCGATGACATGGGGAAAGTTTATGAAGTTGGATAAAAATCTGGAGGTCAAGTATGATTTCAATGTCTAAAAAATGGGCATAAAAAAACATGGAAGGAAACATACCAAGATGATTTCCTTAACGAGGTTTTTATTTGTTCCTGTGGTCTCTCGGTATTCAATATGTTACATTAGATATTAAAATATTTTTCCTTTTTATTTATATGTAATTAAAAATTTTTAATTTCTATGGAAGAACATGCATTCATTTTGCAATAAGAAAAAAAAGTTTTGGTTTTCCATTTGTTTTCAGGATCCAAAATGTTTTCTTTTGAATTAAACAAATAGAGGTTCAGAAACAAACAAAACTGCTACATCTGATCCAACTGAGACTCTTTCTTGAGGAGAAATGTTTACTCCAAATCCTTGTATTCACTCTCCTGTTCTAAAAACATCTATGTACTCACTAGGTTTCAGGACTGGAACTAGGTTCTGGGAATAAGGCAGTAAACGCAGCCAGTATTGCCTTTGCTTCCCGATAGTAGGGATAGTTAATTATAAATCTAATAACAAAATATAAATAAGCAAAATATTCAGAGATTGAAAAGGTAGCATGGGACAGGGACCTAGGGCACTGTCCTTATCAGACCGTGTACCAGATGTGATGTTTCCAGGGAGGTGACTTTGTGAAGCTGGAGAAAATGTTTCACTGATTAATCATTTCTAAATCCAAAAAAGCCTTGAAAATTTACCTACCTGTCTTACCCCGGGATGGATAAATAGTTATATGGCCAGATACTGCTTCAGTTCCAGGGTTAATGTATCTCACAACAGCACGAAACAAAGAGAGGCTTGATTCCCCCACATTCAACATGATCTTTACTTCATTCTGAAAAATACCAAAAGCCATAAAGTATAGACAAGACAACTGGTTTAAAGAAATGCTAGCCAAATAGTGATTATTCAAGTTTCATCACTAGGCTTGTAGTGTACACACACACATGCACGTAAATACACAAATATCAACTCGACAAGCACCGAGTAACTAACTCTGCGGAAGATGGAAATAGGCAGGCCTAATGATAAAATTAAGTCTGTTGCAATTGAAGTTAGAGTGAAAATGCACTCCTTCAGCAACTGAGATCCTCTTTTGACCTTTTTGTAATCAGGCAAACAGAGCAGAACACAGACGAACTACTTAGGGAAAGCCCAGTGACAGGCAACCACCGCTGGCTGGGAGAAATAAAAAGGCGAAAGAAAAAGAAAGGAATGTGTATTATTTAACACCATTGCCCTGTAGAGAGACTACTCCATGGTCCACTTCTCATACATAAAATTCTAAATGGTCATAGAAGCTAACGGCAGCTGAGGACAGGTTATAGATCCCAAATACATTAGTGATGAGATCTGGATGTAACTGAAATATGCCTGCTAATCTGAAATTTACCTCAATCCCTATCCAAAAAGAATGTGGGCGGGGGAGGGGAGGCGCTCCTGTTGGTCCCCAGAGCCCTGGTGCTCACACAATGCTCTGTAAGTGCTGTTGTGCCATGATCTTAAAGGAAAAAGTAGACTATTTTAATTCTGAACTGCAGACTGCATGTTCAAATCCAGCTGTGGCCCAAGGAAAGTACATGAGATTTGGAAATTTCCAAATTATTGGTTCTTTTGGTCTCTTCCCCAGCCCTTTGGTTAATATGGAAGCAACTTTCGTTGAACAAGACATCTGTGACAATAAAGACTGACTTTGGGTGGGCTCCCTGCTCTGGGAGCAGGAGCTGCTGCCGGCTCACACTGAGGAGAAACTCCAGCTGGCCCTCTCGATTTGACTAACTTCATCTTCAAGTGTTAGCTCCAAGTTGGACAATAAAAATGCAAAACTGTATTAGGAGCTGTGTAAAGTTACTG